TCCAAAAAAGCAGTTATGAATACAACCCAAATAATCTTTGTGCCCAGAATCTCTATTCTATGACGTGCATTGTTCCACCAGTCCTCGGCTTCTTATTCCAACATGTGTATGCTAAAATGCACCTTCTGATCTTTTGTGCAAACGACTACCCAAAAAATGTTTTTAATTCCCTTAAGCTATCCTTGCCCATCATCAGCAGCATGCCTGCCTTTGTAAATCGAAAGGTTGTTCCCCTGAAACCTCCCTCATGCACGAGCTTCGTCATCATTCTAACCAGCATTAGGTGGATTATGCACAACCTGAGCAATGGCCTGCAAAGCAGCAACAATCACAACATCATTCCTTCCAGCCATTCTTCTGGTACACATAACAATAGAAACAAGGGTTAGCAATTATATCGACAATATTCAACTGTCACACACTATAGACTCAACAACCTGGCCGGACATACTGACCCGCTCTGATACCACTAATGTAACACCCTTCTAAAACCCATAAATAATATAAATAAATAATCAAAGTATTTCACTCAAAGGGCGTCACATGCTTCATAAAACATCATACATGCACGTCTTACTCTGTAACACGTCTTATGCTCGCCTCTGATGCGACGTGCCTTATTTCTCATCGTCCTAAGAAATTCATATTATATTATATGTGGTCCTGATACATGTGATATTTTATGAGCTTTGTGCAAGAACTTCTGATTACGCGTTGCATTCTCAACACGTGTTTGCTTTTATCTTAGTTGGGTATTGTTTCCGACTTTGTTTGTTTCTTTGTGAAGCTTGCTCGATGCGTACTCCCTGCTTCTCCATTGCTTTCGTCTGCTCTTGAAGATTTGCTCGCTTTTGGTAGTCACCGCTACTACCTTCGTACTTCTTCGCACTTTACTGCATTTCTTTACCGCCTTTCTAGATATCATAAGAAGTAAGGTTTTACTGCTTTGTGATGCCATGAGAAGTAGGGTGGAGATGTATGACGGGGGGTCTCTGTTGCTGATCATGTTAGGAACCCCTCTAGTTTATTTAAAGACCCATTTAGGGTCATTCCGCATTGTGTGCGTTCTATTTGCTACTTGTGTGTGGTTTGTTTAAAACCATGCCTTCGAGTATGTATTCAGCAGATGTGTTTATATTTGTGCCCGCATATGTACAGATGATAAGTCCTCAAAAATATGCGAGTGGAGAGGGTTAGTAATCAACCCCCACAATTTCATCTGCGTCATCCTTAGCTCGTGACGCACCTCGAAGCTTCAGAGTTGTGCCTGCTCTTGTTATCGAGTCGTCAAGTGGGGAAGGGTTCTGCAATCGAACTCCCACATTTTGTCAAGAGTTCGCATTATCCGATGCTGATACTCTATGATTGTTCATATTGCCCTCTCACGCTTACCTTTATCTCCTATATCTTGGTTATGTGTTCAGTCGCTTTGAACATCACATTTTTGTTTTTCATCTCACTCCTGCTTATTTGTCTCGGGTGATACCCTCCCCTTGACTAAATCATTTCTCTTCTTTTCTTTATTGTTTTATGTGTGTGCTCTTCCGAGCTTGCTTGTTTTATCCTTGTACATACCATGTTCCCTTAGGACGTCCTTGCTCCCTTCGGACGCGAGTTAGACCTTAGATTGTAAACTTTGCATGCTAACATTAGGTAGAGATTTCTCTTTTGTTAATCTAAATAATAGAGCCACCATTGTATGATAACATTAGATTTAGAAATAGGTTAGTCCCACGTAGACTCTTTTCTTTCCCTTTTTCATATGCATTTAAAACTAAAACTTCCCTTTCTTGGCAAATAAAAAACACTCTAATCACACTTAAACCCCTTTTAAAGGTAACAAAACACAAACCAATCAAATGTGGCATATTGCCTCGAGGGCGTAACTCGAAACCATCTTCAAATAAGGATATAATTAATTTACTTCTGTGCCAACGCGTGAGTCTCCAAAGATCGAGCTGCGGCAGAAGGCGGAGTTAACATTGTCCATAAAAAACACAAAACAAACAAAAACATGTGTGTCGAACTACGGTAGCTCCAATTCTTCAAAACGGATACGTAGGCATTGGGGTAGGGCCCAAGAGAGTACAACTTTATTTTCCCTACATTCTTTTCTCATTTCTTTTGCATGCATTCTTCCTCAGTAGTAAAAAGTAAGCATAGACTAAACACACCTATAAGATATATAACAAGAGTGGATACTATAGAGTACTACAGGCAAAATGACATTTGTTCGTACGGTACTCTCTATAGCCGCTTCTAATGGATGGTCTCTTCATCAAATGGATGTGAAAAATATTTTTCTTCATGGTGACCTGACGGGAGATATTTATATGACTCCTCCTCAAGTTTATTCTTGTCATCTAAGGGTGTGTGCAACCTCAAACGCTCCTTATACCATTTGAAACAAGCGCCTAGAGCATGGTATGAAAATTACGCTCCACTCTACTTGGGTTCTCCTTTACTCAAAGTCAGTATGATTCTTCTTTATTTATTCATAGCACGTCTACTTGAATTGTCCTACTTCTTTTTTATGTGGATGATATGATTATTACCGGTTCTGATAATGCTTCGATTCAAAGCCTTAAACAACAATTACAAGCATCATTTCATATGAAAGATCTTGGTAATTTGCATTATTTTCTTGGTCTTGAGGTTTACTCTACATCCAAGGGCATATTCCTTCATCAACAAAAGTATGCCACATGTTTAATTTCAATGGTTGGTCTCCAATTGGCTAATCCCATGGATACTTCTCTTGAGGTTAATGTCAAATATCATCGTGATGATGGTGATCTTTTGCCTGATCCCTTATTGCATCATCAACTTGTAGGTAGCCTTAATTACTTGACTATTACTCGCTCTGACATATCTTTTGTTGTTCAATAAGTAAGTTAATTCATGCACTATCCTAGCCACCTTCACTTGGCGCCAGTTTGTTGCATAATTTGTTACTTAAAGGGAAGCTCTCGTCGTGGTTTATTCTTTTCTAATGGAGTTGTTCCTAAATTGAATGCTTATAGTGATGTCGATTAGGCAGGGTGTCCTGATACTCAATGTTCTGTCACTGGTTGGTGCATGTTTCTTGGCTCTTCATTGATCTCATGGAAAAGTAAGAAATAAGCGAAAGTCTCTAAATCTTCTACTGAATCTAAGTATCATGTCATGTCTGCGGCTTGTTCTGAAATAATTTGGCTTCGTGGTCTTTTGGCTGAACTTGGATTTCCTCAAATAGAGCCAACTTCACTTTATGTTGACAATACAAGTGTCATCCAAATTATTACGAATCATGTCTTTCATGAACGCACCAAAAATATCAAAGTTGATTGTCACTCAATCTGTGACGCGTTTGATGACCAGCTCATATCACTTCCTCATGTGAATACTCAGTTGCAGGTTGCAGGTATTCTTACCAAGCCGGTTCTGCGTCCACATCATCAGTTTCTTGTTAGCAAATTGATGCTCATTGACCAGCAACATCAATTTTAAGGAGGGGTGTGAATAAGAATTAGTTTGTTCTTAGAATAAGGGTTTGTTCCTAGAAAAAGGGAAACAAATAAGAAATTGATTTATTCTCGTTAAGTGTAATTATTTAGTGTAATTACTTGTATAGCCATGTAACCTCGATATATACAAGAAATAGCAATCAGAAAGGCATCAAGCCAAGAATTCTTGACAATCTTTTAACAAAATCACATGATTCAATTCGGTTTTTACGGTTTGTACTTTACAAACCAAACCAAATCAAGTCGTATTATGTTACAACCTAAATTTTACTTAACTCACATTCAACCCAAACCTAAACCTATTATACCTTTGCTTTATGATTACAAACAATTTTCCCATCCTTACACTTATAGTTTCAATTTCAGTCTTCTCAAATCTCTCTTAGCATTATCGTGTCTTCTTCGCCACATACAACTTTCATCTTCTTCTCTAATCTCTACTCTCTTATATTCTTTCTTTTTCACTTCTCATCATTATGCAAGTGTTCTCTCCTTCAATTTTATTTTGATCGCACATCTTCTTCTCTAATCTCTCCTCTCTTGTGTACTTTCTTTTTCATCTTCACTAATATCTCATATTTTTTTTATAATATTTTTATGTTCTTTTATACTATTATTTTATGTTTATTATTTCACTTTTGTCTAATCTAATTTTTACATATTAAATGAGAAATTATTGTCTAAATATAATGAGTTTTGTTCTTATTTGGTAGTGCGTGAATAATTAAATACAAAGTTGTGTTGTCATTTATATGTGTATGTATGACTCAATAAAATAATCTGAACCAACCGAACTGAATCAAACCGCATTAGTTTGGTTTGGTTTGATTCAATTTTTTCTAAAAGTCAATCAAATCAACCTAAACCGCATATTTTTTTCTCTTGCGATTCGAATGATTTTTAATAATTATGTGTAAAAAATGTAATTAAATTATTAAAAGTATGTGAAACTTGAAGTTGGACCAAGTTCTTTATTAATATACTTTAGTATATTACATTTTCTCTACAATATATAATAACCATTTAAATGTAAACTCTAATTAATCATCTCTTTTGAAGTATAAATTCTTAAAAGCATGATTATTCAATAAATTTAATATCTGAACCATTTTTTCTTAACTTCTGTAATTTATTCTGTATCTTATATTTTAAGAAACAAAGATAATAATCAGCATGTAGCATGTAATTATAGTGAATATTTTGGTTTGGGTGAACACAAGGGTCTCTTTCTACCTGAGGTGGTGTGTCTCCCTCTCAGTGGAAATTTGAATTGTAAGAGAGTAGTCTCTTTTTCTATGATAACTATTAATCATTCATATATTTGGTTGGTATATAGGAAATGTGTGAGGAAAAGTCCTATCTGACAGTAGCATGTTCCTTATACAAATTACTATCTGAGAGTAGTCTCTTTCTACATTTACAGGGACTAAGCTTCTGACCTGTACAATTTGTATGTATTCTATAACTAGAAACCGGATTTGAAATTCACGCATATCAATGCTTTTTCTCTAATTTGCCAAGAACATCTTCCATGCATGCTTTGTAAGCTTCCATGCCTGGAACATGTTTTGCAATGTCAAAGCCAACATTCATCCATTTCTTCCCCATTTCAATCTGACCCAACCTCACTGGCACTGCTGCTCGGTTCCATGCAGTCATGGCAAGCCACTTTCCCTCTTCAATTGGATATTCACCTTCCTTCAAACCAACCATTATCCTATACGCTTGCTTGTACATGCTATATACAAGATCATCATCTTTATCACCCTTGTGAATGCTAGCTATGGCTATAAGCTTGCGAACAACAAGAGCAACATTCGGATAATCTGGAACAGGTGATGAAAGGAAAGATGAGAGACACTCATTTAGAGCAAAGGTGGCTACTTCGTGATTCGACAGTGGTCCCTGTGAAGCGTGTAAGCCTATCTGAAGAAGGTGCTGAGGCTTGCAAGCCTTTGAACTCGCAAAACTTTTCACTGTGAAGAGTTGTGATCCTAAGTCATTTAGCCTTCCTTGTACATCATAAGTGCAGAACGTGTGTATGAAGAAAAGGTCGGGTGCAATGGTATTCAATTGGCTATCATTAACATAGTTCCCAGCTGAAATTAACTTTAGCATCTGCATCCACATAAGATGGGAGCAAAAATTAATATTCAACAAGATTCACAAGTTAAATATAACCTAACAAATTAACAACAAATGACTTTTGATAGTAAAATACAAATTAATTTATCCATCAAGAAAAATTGACCCATTTGAAAAAGAATAATGTATCAGGTACCATGTAATGAAGAAAAGATTTTCGTACCTGCCCAGCTCTATCTAGTAAAGTTAGAGCTTGTTTGACTTCGGTTTCTGACATAGCAGCCTTCCTCTGAAATTCTAAAGCTATCATTGATGACACGGAAAGCACTAATGATTTGCAAACCATGACATTGCTCTCATCATCAGATCCTTTAACTAGAGCATAAAAATTTGATGCAAGTATTAAAAACTCAGCAGACAATTCATAATTCTTATCCTGTCCTGTTTTTGTACCATAATTCCATGAGGTCACAGCAAACCAATTTAGCTCACGTCTTCCAACCTCCTCTTTTCCAAAGAAGCAATCAGAACCAAGTTCGGAGGCTCGTGTATGGGCATGTTTTAAGGTTTTAAGAACTTTCTCTTCATTATCCGGTTCTTGAGATAGAACAGCGACCAAGGTGCGCATAACTGTTACTTCTGTTGTTGGCATGGACTTTCCTGAAGCATAGAAGTTTAGCATTGTTGATAGAGAGGCAGCAGCAACAGATCGAGCACTGCAAGCAACAGCTTCATGGGCTGAAAGTGAGAGAAAATCTGGTTGAAAGTCAAGGCACGCGGTCATTGCTTCAATTTGAGTAATAGCACCTTGGCTGTCTTTTTTTTGGAGATAAATTTTGTACTGAATTAAAAAAAATGAAAAGTTAATATAAGTTGTCGTGTCATTCGGATTATCAATACTATTCTAATTAGAAGCAAGTGAGCTTAGTTGTAAGTAGTAACCAACTTAAAACATTGATTAGGAAATCAATGTAAAGTGTCTCCATAAGATCCAAACCTATATATAAGATATTGTGAATTCGTCAGCTGTTTTAAGCCACATATATTTATGTATATAGGAGTGTGGAGAAGAGAGTACCTTAAGAAAAGCACAGACAACATTGGGCTCAAGCTGCAAAGATAGAAAAAGAAGAATAAATTTTCTTATTTGCGTAAAAGTTAATGAAACAAATTCAAAAGTCTAATTTTCAACAATACCTTCTCAGCCTCGTCGATATATTCTTTGGCGCGATCCAGCTGCAAGAGACCAAGGTGGCAGAGACACAAAACTCTAAAGCCCTTGGCTCTAAGTATTCTGTTTTCTGTGTCATGTGGAATATATAGCATTGATTTTTCAAAAAGTTCTGCACTGGTCTGATAATCTTTTGACTGAAAATTGTCAGCACCACTGAAAATCATGTAGAAATATTGAGATCAGTGATATCACTTGAAAGAAAATCTTCAAAGGCATTGCCCAATCATATGAAATGCAAATATTCATCTAGTGAATTGTAAGCCCCTCCAACATATTTATGATGCAATGCTCTAAAGGATGTCATTTCTACATTTCTAGGGGCCGTTAAAAAAAGAGACACTGAAAGCAGTTGATAAAGACAAGAGAAAACAAAACTCAGTCTCCTATGCAGCTGTAGTTGTCCAGAATCTATTTGAAAGCCCAAAGAAAAGGGTCAACCTATATGACTTAAAATGTACCAAGAGAATGAATGAAGATGGAAGTTACTGCTTGATTAGATAAAAACTGGAGCTATGAGAGTATTGTAGTAGTATATGTATTGCACACTAGAACTGCATAGACATACTTATGGAAAAACTCAAATCTACAGTTTTTGCTGAATTTTGAAGGTTAACTTTTTGCAGTGGAGCTAGGACTCACCGAGAAAACTCTCACCTGAATCTATTGGTTACTTACTAGAATGTGATTTGAATTGTATCTTTCTGTTTTACTTGACATTAATTCAGAACATGTTCTGAAGCTGTGAGATGAAAACCCCAAAAATTAAGCTTATATAGCCAATGTTGTACCAACTATATATGTATATTCAAACACAATAATATTCTTACATCATATTCAATACACAAAGAAATGAAAAGCAATTAGCTCATGTCGAATCAGTTCAACATCAACCAAGAAAACTATATAGTAATTTCATAACTTCAAAAACTTTTGGTACATTCAATCACAATCACACACTTAATACATATTGTGAAAACATTTAGGATGACAAAACATTAACATAACAAATCCAAAGAGTCCTATTTATGAAGTTAATCTGCTTAAGACACACCTCCACAGTTTCATCATCATGCAACTGGTACAAAACAATCACATACTACATTCAAATTTATACAGTCATGCAACTAGCAGAAGAAACAGGTTAAGATGAACCAAAGAGTTAAAATATTATTCATACCAATTCCACAGAACAGCATGCATTGCCGTTCTATCCTTAGCAACTTCCTTTTCTGCAAAAAGCGCCACCACCCTTTCATCAGACACAAGCTCAGCAACAACTTTAGCCCTAACTTTACTCCCTTCGCCGCCGCCTCCAAGCACCCTACTCGCTACCCTTACCGCAGCACCAGCACTGACATGACACCTCCCTAATAGCCCTAAAAACACCCCTTTCGCCGTCTCCGCTCCTGCTGTCCCAGCAGAACTAAAATAAGCCTCCACAGAAGACACCCAAACACCTTCTGGAATCCCTCTGTCAATCACCATTCCCCTCAATTCCTTCTCCGCTTCGTTGTGCCTCCCTAACCCTAACCAGGCCTTCATCGCCAAAACCGAAAGGCTTGGATGATCATCACCACCTTCAGCAGAATCTCTCAAAACCTTCACACACTTAATCACACTCTCGAATTCATCCTTTTGCAAATGGATCGCGGCAATGAACCTCAAAACCTTCCACCTTAACCCTCTGATTTCCACCTTCTCTTCCCGTGTTCTCGATGCACCGTATCCCTTCTCGCAACTCTCCAACGCCTCGTTCATCAGTTTCAGCGCCTCGCTCAAATCACGACTCTCCGCGTCTTCGCTGTTTTTCGATAACGAGCATTTGCCAAACGCCATGAATTGCTTCGCAAGCTCCATGTAGTCCTCGCACGAACCAGATAGCATGCTCTTGCTTCTATTCAACAGCGCGACCGCGAGGTTCGGGTCACGAACCTCCCAAGCAGTTCGGGACCTGGCAAGGTTCAAATCCAGCAACAGTTTTCGTTCTCCGGCGTCAGTAATCGAAGCGATGTTGAGTTTCGAGACCAGATCGGTGGCTCGCTCGAAGCATTTGGCAGCAAGATCATACTTCCGGAGGTTGTGCCACAACAAGCCGGTCTTGTAGTAGAACGAAGCCGACTTGACCGCCGGAGATGGAATACCGGTAACATCGCTGGCGATTGAGAGGAGGTCGGCTGTCAAATGTCGGAGCTCCGCCTGTTTTTCGCCGGTGGATGATGATGAACGGATAGTGGCGGTGTTGGAGATGTCGACACAAACGTTCCAGAGTCGGTAGCTGAGTTTCCAAATCTGAAGCTTCAGTGAGTTGGAAAACGGAGCGAGTTGACTCAGCTGCGTTAAGCATTGCCGGAGATTAACGGCGGCTGTGTCCGGTGGAAGTTCGTTAGCGGAGTTGGTTTCAATTTGATTGACGATTGACTCGAATCGGGAGAGAATGTGCTGATCATCTCCTTCTCCATGGACTGTTCGGATCTCCGGCGAGGATATCTCAGCAATTCTCATAACTGGCGGGAATTTTGAAAAACTGGATTTCCTTTTTCACCTTTTGGTCATTTTATTTTTGTTTGCCCCCTACTATTTCTCACTTTATTATAAACAAAAATAAAATAAATCTCACTTCTATTAAATAGATAGTTAAATGCAATTAATATTATTAATTTCATAAAATATAATCTTAAACCATAATATATAAATATATTATAAACAATTATTAATTTCATAAAAAAAATCTTGAACTTATCAAACTCCAAAATAAAATGAGTTAATGATAAATTGTACAAATAAAAATTCATTCATATCTATATCTAAAGACTTCAACTTTATTGTCACATTTTCCATTTGAGTCACGGATCAAGAATATGTTGAAATCATTTAAAATTAAATTAGTCATCAAATTTCTCACAATATGTTGTCAGAAATGTGAGACTGTGAGTACTCATTCACATTTTTCATAAATTCCATAATAATTTTTTGTTGTTATAGGCAGGACATTTTCAACTATCGTCATTCTCATCAAGTTTAAGGACAACATGTTGGATCTTTCTCATATCTCAAAGAGAGATCTTTCATATTTCATTATATCCTCTGTAATGGTCATGAACTACTCACCCTTTAATCATGTGTCTAAGTTCACTTTTGGATATGACTAAATACATTTTAATAAACTATGAGATGGTAAATGAACGTACTTTAATGAAAAATAAATAAAACTAAAAAATATGCATGACTATCTTTGAATATACAAACATTTTAATTTCATTAATTAGAATTTGTACTTGTTAAATGTATAATATATGACAATCCCTAGTGATTAAGGGATGTCAAATACTTTTAGGGTTCCTTATGAGGTTTTAGAGATATCTCACACACGAAGGTGAGATGTTGCGTATTTGAAATTAGTGTAATGAGATTGGATCCCCTTTCAACCCACATGGTTGGGGTATTGTTAACTCACATTTTGTGAGTTAATACATGCTTTTGTATTTCTTTAATGAGTCTTTTACTTGCTTAAAAGTTGTTAAATTTATGCATTTTAGTTAATTTTATTAGTATAGCTTAGAGCACAATAGGTGCTCCTTTTTGGTTGTTTAATATGTTTTAGTGCAAGTAAAGGTTAGCAGAGTCAAGTTGGGGCAAGACTGCAGTGGTCTGTTACATGGAATGCAAGCTGAATAAACTAGAAGGACTTAGAGGATAAGGATAAACAATATTGCAATCAGCTAGCTTATGTGGATAACGTGGAAGGAAGAATGAATCGGAGGGAATACTTTATTATGTTGAAAAAAAGGAAGAAAACCATTCAAATTCAAAGTATGAGGTTTAGGCGCTAGAGGATAAAGGAAGGTACAATAGTATTGTGGGTAGGTTGTGTAACACCCTAAAATAATTAGATTATTCATTTATTTAATTATGAATATTGTGAGTTATTTGTCAAGTTATGTGATGTTTGATGAATATGATGTATTGCGCGATGCTATGTGTGGTAGTGAGAATTAAAGGGATATTGAGTGATTTTAATAATTTGGAGAATTAAAATAATTAGTTAGAATAATTTTAATTAGTTAAATAATAATAATAATAATAATAATAATAATAATAATAATAATAATAATAATAATAATAATAATAAGAGGTAGAGACTATGAGGACAAGGTAGTAATATTGTGAAGTAAGCGAGGGTAAGATGAAAAGACCATAGGAAGGGCCCAAAGGTTAAACAAGGAAAAGTGAGTGTCAGTGTTCATTCTGCGATCGTAAAAGTGAGAAGAACGTTATGAAGAGAGCTAGGGCACTAAGAAACTCAGAGGGTTTCTATGGAGCACAAGAAGAGATCGAATCACTGCTAGGAATCTAAAGTAAGGGGAGCTTATCATTGTTATTATGATTGATACAAGGCTTAAATAATTGTAGGTTTGTTCTGGGATTTTGGTTCATGATGATAACATGATGAATTTGATGAGACTTAATAAAATTATGATTTTGTTTTACAATGAATTGATACACATGATATATAATGAAATGTGTTATTATTGCATGATGAAACTATGTGAAGATATGATGGAATGAGACATGTATTGTGTTGGATTCATGTAGAACTGAGACTGGTCTTGTGCAGGAAATTGCAACAGAGAATCTCACTTTGTGCAACCTCGTCGAGTGATCCACCTAGTCGTCGGGCGAAACAACTTTCACCTATACTTGGCTAGGCGAGAGAGAGGCGAAAGGGAGGGTTGAGTTTTGGTATGATTCTAGAATTTTTATGGGGGTTGATTCGCTCCAGCTTCGTCGGGTGAAGCAGAGGCAAGATAAAGGAAGGATTCTTCTAACGAATGAGATTGGAAGGAACATGAGCTCTTGGAATTTTTCATCGGGGAACCTGGTTTGCCCTATCCTCGTCGGGCGAGCCCCAAGCGAGTGTGCAGCTTCGTCGGACGAGCCTCAGGCGAGAGGTGTTTGACAGAAACTTCGACAGGTCGTAACTTGAGTTTCTGAACTCTGTTTGACGCGTCGTTCGAAGTGTTAGAAAGCAAACATAATGAACTATGATTTGGTGAAATAATATGGATCATATGATGTAGTTTTCTAATGATTGTGTTATGATGAGATGATGAGATTATATGTTGATATAATAGTACGTGTGTTTTTTATTATAATTGATGTAACCATGTCTTGTTGTAATTTGACTTGTGTTTTATGATGAATTGATGGTGTTATGAGGATGTGTGTATTATGAATCATGTGGTGAGAATATGATGAGCACATGAATGATGATGTGTGTTGACTAGCATTGGTTGTGTTGTTTATTGTGTTATTATGCATCATATATTCATGGCATATTTTAGGACAAATAGTTTAGTGATGTTTACAGGACATTATTCCAGTAGAGTTTATAGAACGAATAGTCCAGTGATGGCCTAAATCCCATGGTGTGGATTGAGTGGAATTTTATTATGTGCTATGGCTCTAAGCGGGGACCGATCCTATTGGTGGGCATCTTTGGAGAAATGATGATTAGTCATCAGTGAAGTTTTGGTACAACATGCATGAGCTTAAAGAAGTTTAATTACATTCCTTGTGGCATTGCATAATGATTGATTAAGTGATGATTTGTGAATGTGTGAACTAATGATGTCTTGATGATGATTATTGACTGATGATATGATGATGTTATGGATAAATAATGAATTTAAGGTGTGAGTATAACATGAAGTTTTGATGGTGTGTGGTGTCTTGATATTGTGCTATAACTACTATATTTATTCCTTATGTCTTTTAAAATGATTATGATTACTCACCCTTTCTGCTTTGAAATGTTCCCTTTATACGTGGGTAACTTACAGGTGATTAGGATTAGTGCATTGAAGCTTAGAGGATTAGTTTCAGAGTGCGTCATTTATTTATGTTGAATAAGAGGGTCTTGCTCTGATATGTAACATTGGGGTCGGGTTTGTTGATTGGAATAATTATGTTCTTTTGTTTACCTTGAGATTATGAGTCACTTTCCTTGGTATTTAAATTGTTCCTAAATTATGAATCTTGTACGATAAAGTATGATGAAGTTTCTTTCAAGTGTTTTTAATGAAGATGTTTTGAGACTGTGATTTCGCTGCGATGATTTGAATCTTGATATTTGATTATATTAAAGAAATAGTTGTTTTAGATCTTTTGAAAACCCATGTTACAGAGTATGATGTTTCTATGAAGATGTGACACATTTGTGGTTTATTTGTTTTATTTTCATAAAAATTTATGGAAAATACATGTGGGTTAGAATGGTGTTACATTAGTGGTATCAGAGCAGGTCAGCCCGTCCAACTAGGTTTTCTTATGATGTGCATGTCATGTTGATCGATTAGTGTAAGTACATTATCGATACATTGTTTTCTGACGATTAGTTTTCCGTGTGTAGAATGGCTGGAAGAAATGATGTTGCAATTGCTGCTGCTTTGCAGACTATGGCTCAGGTTGTGCAGCATCAGCCTAATGCTGGCGCGAATGATGAGTCTCGTGTCTTGGAGACGTTTCAAAGGAACTACTCACCTACTTTCAAGGGTCGGTACGATCCTGATGGAGCATAGTCTTGGCTTAAGGATATTGAACATATCTTTCGAATCATGAATTGTAAAGAAGCAAAAAAGGTGCAGTTTGGTATGCACATGGTGGCAGAGGAAGCCGATGACTGGTGGGTCAGTACCCATCAGAGATTGGCAGCGGTGGGTGAAGTTGTTACTTGGGTTGTGTTCAGCAGAGATTTTTTGAGGAAGTATTTTCCCGAAGATGTACACGGGAAGAATGAGATATAATTCCTTAAGTTAAAATAAAGGAATATATCGGTGACTGAGTATGCTTCAAGGTTTGCGGAGTTGGCAAAGTATTACCCATATTATAGTGAAGTAACTGCTGAATTCTCGAAGTATATCAAGTTTGAGAATGTTTTGCGTCTGGAAATCAAATGGGAAATTAGATATTAATAGATCCATAGATTTCTAGAGTTGGTGAACAAATGTAGGATCTATGAAGAAGATAGCAAAGCTCATTCGGCTCACTACAAGAGTTTGAATGAGAAAATAGGAAAATAGTATCAGGACCGTAAAAAGCCTTATGATGCTCCAACTAATAAGGGAAATAAAAGGTTTCCGATGGGAAGAAGATGAGGGGGAGGAGCTCTCGCTCTTGTCAAGTGTTATAGGTGTTGTGAACAAGGTCATCGTTCTAATGAATGCGAGAATAAGGTACTGAGATGTTACAAATGTGGTAAACCGGGTCATCGTGCTCCTGAATGCAAGAACGATGGTCCAACTTATTTCAATTATAGAGAACATGGTTGTAATACGGTGGGAGAACTGACTTTAGGGTTTGCATTTTATCACAAATGTTGCAGATAGCAAGAGTCGCCATCGACTTTTCTTTTATACAATAAAGGAAAGGGTGAAAAGAACAGGAAAGACCTTTGAGAATTTTTGTTGAGTTCGGGGGGTAGGTTATAAAAAGGAAAGGTGTTA